TACTATAAATTGTACTTATAAGTAAAGTTGTAGCTTATATTTAGAGCTACAAATCAGTATATGATACTATATGCCGATCTTTAATCGAACTCGAACCAGACTCGAACTCGTATAACGATTCGGTTCGAGTTCGGTTCGAACTTCGAACCTTTCTTGAACTCAAGCCAAAGTCTGGTTCGAGTTCGATTCGAATTTCGAACCGAACTCGAACCCGGGCAAAAGTCCGGTTCGGTTCAGTTCATAGGAACACTACTTTCAAGTAATTGTTTTTTAAGTCAAATATAATAATTGATTATTTAATAATGATTTATCTTTCAAGATCAAAATTAATATCAAATATAACTTTATTAAGTTATTTAACAAGAATATAATTGAAGTGATAAAACTTATTTTCTAAAACTATGATATAAATTATATTTATAACAAATTATTAGATCTAATTTAGCTATTACATAGTTGATTTCTAGCACTTTTATTATTATCATTACTTGAATTACTGTTATTATTTGGATTATTGTCATTACTTGAATTACTTTTGTCACTTACAGCTCAATAAACCAATTATTAATAGCTTAAATCTTGTTCAATGATACTATTATCCAATAATCTTAGCTAAATTATTGTTTAATTAACTTATAATATGAATTTATTAATAAAATACAACTAAATATTCATATCATAACAATATAATTAAAATTTAATAAACTAAAAATTCCAGATTATTTAAAAATAAACTTTACTTAATATTATAAAGTACTATTTATATTATTTTTATTATATCAAACTCTTTGTTAATAAATTAATTCTTTATTTTAATATGAATTTGTTTTATTAAGAATTCACTTTAATTATATATAATACTAGTATAAAGGATTTTTATTGTATTATAAATAAGGATGGTTGCCAAAATAACGTTATCTAATTAAATAATTTGCCAAAATTAACTTGCCAAAATTAAATCCGAAATTATTATGACTTATTTTATTAGTAGCCGAAATTGTTTTCTGAAATTATTTGGATTCTACAAATCAAAACAAGCATTTCTAGGTGGTTTTTAAGTATTCATTAATATAAGCAACATAGCAAAACCGAATTAGTTGCCGAAATACCATTTTTTCCAAAAATAATTTAGGAGATCATCTTTAATTATAAACTCTTTAGAATAATTTTATTTAATAATTATCATAATTAAAGTTCTATTTGAATTAAATCAGATTAAATTTAAAATTAATCTGAACTAATAATTTTAGATTAGGTTAGAATCAGATTAAATTAATTCAAAAATCATAAAATAATTTTTTATTAATAACTTTTATTTTAAAATACTTATATTTTGTGTCTAAGTAAAGTTATTTAAAATATAATTATATATATTTACAAATTTTTGTTTAATTTTAATTAATTTTGAATGAGAAACAATATTTTTTAGACTAATCTGAAATATTTTGAATTATATTTGATTTTAATTCAACCTGATTTAAAATATATATTCTAAATCAGGTCATTTTAATTAAAATACTAATAACAATATATATATATATATATTAAACTAATAACTTAACATAACCAATTAAATTTTTCAAATTAATTATATTAATATTTATATTTAATTCAAAGATCAATCATTATACTAATTATTATGTATATTATAATATATATATTTAACTTTAATAAAGTTATTATATAAAATAATTATTTGAAATTAATATAACATTAATGATATTTTTTTAAATATATTTTTAATATTTATTTAGAAAATATAAAACTTATATAAATTTTATTTAAAATTAGAATTATTTTAGATTAGGATTAAATTAGAATTATATTAAAATTAAATAAATTTATATAAGTAAAATTGTCTTTCTGACATTTTTTATTATTTTTTTTAAAAGTGAGTTCAGACTGTCATTTTTTATCAAATTTTATTAGTTTATATATATATAAGTCAAATAGATAAATATAAATATTTTATATATTATTAATTTATAATAAATTATATATTTTTAACCTGATATATCTTTTCTCAAATTTTTCATAAGAATTTATATTACTTATATAAATAAGTAAAATTATTTAAAGTAAAAGAAAATCATATAATATAATTATATATTTGTAATTTTAAGAATAGTTTATAAATAAGTAAATATATTAATAATTTCTTTTTATTAATTTAAACAATTATAACTTTACAATTAAGATGAGAAATCAACACAAATATAGCTTTACAATTAAGACAAAATGTTATAAATAATTAAGATGAGAGATTATTAATTGAATAAAAGCTATTTACTAGCTAACAATCAAAGAGATGAAATAACTATTTATTTATTGAATTTTTATTAACAACTTATTAACAAGATACATGTACATAGCAAAACTCCAAATAATATTATTAAATCTAACAATAATGAAAATAATGGAATTAGTAACCAATCACTGCCAACTGGATTTGAAAATAAAATTACTAGAGGAATGGCTCATGTTCCGAGCAAGTTAATACATCACCAACATATCCGTCAGATGAAATATCTTTAATTTTATTCCAACTTACTGTATATTCCCAAAAATTTTTGGAACCTAATTTTGTCGAATTTTGAGGGGTGGTGCTTAAACTCGGGACAATTTTTCCCGAAAATGTAATCTCTTTAAATCACGGTCCAGAGAATGATCTTTTATTTGAAATTTATATATTGTCAAAGAAAATGATGTATCAGCCTATTAAATTTTAGATATGATAAAGTAGTGGTGCTTATTTCCAGGACTATACGGTAATTCTTTAAATCCAATAAATCTTTAACTCAAATAGTAACTAATATTGATATGAATTAAGAAGGGGATTTTTCTAGCAAACAATAACTAAATTAATGTGAGTTTTGGTATATTGGTTTAGAATCGATTTTTGTCAGGTGTCATGCCTTTCGCTTCTCTCCTAAGAAAGTTGACATATGTTTGTACCCTCTCGTCGAGACATTCTATTTGAAAAGGATTTGTTGAACAATGCAGTATAAATCCTATAAATACATTCAAAACAAATCACAAACCTTTAAATTGGATTACTTGTACATTGCTTGCAAAACCTACTCATCGCTCAAGTCCACGTAATTCAGATTCCACAACCCTCTGCCAGTGGTTTGATCTCTAACCATTTTCCACTTCGAAATTTGTTTGAAAACCACTAGCCCGTTATCATATTTATTGAGGTAATGACCAGTACATGCAGCTCGTTACAATTATTTCTGCAAAACTACAACATCGCGACCATGAGTTTTCCTGTATAATTGACCATAGCGGTATTCACTCACAGGTTGCTATAATAGAAATTCGACGTAAATTTTTCGAAGTGTTACATTATCGTTATGGTCATATGATCTTTCCAATTTGACATTTTTCATTTAAAAAATTATCGATATTTGACATTTTGAATAAATTCTGTCTGTGTGACATATTTAGTTTTTCAAGTAAACAATAACTACATATCTGGTGGCTTTGGCTAGTAAATGAAAAATAGATACGAAAAGAGAAAGACAAAATGCGCGTTTGTTATGTTAGTTTCTATTCCTCTGTGCTCCTTTACATTTTTACATTTCTATTAAATCAATTTTCTTTCAATTCAGCCTCACTGGGAACATTTAGGTATATGAGAGGACGTGTTTCTCGTGCCTGCCTTTTACTTACGCGTCCATTGAAATCTAATTACCTTTTCTTTAAAGATGAAAAAAAGAATAAGACATGCATTTTCTCAGTAAATGTTCACCCAGACGGTTCTAGAGTTGCTACAGGTGGACTAGGTTGTACTTTTGAATAGAATTCAAAGAACAAGACACATTTGTGTTCTTACTTGCATGAGTTGAACTTCTGTTCCCTTGAGCATCAGTCATTAATTTAATAAATCAATTCGGTTACACTTGTTAGATGGGAAAATCAAGATATGGAGCACGGCAGCCCTCTATGATGAATCAAAAGAAAATAATGGGAGTGTCACAGGGTTGCTATGCACAATGGGGTTGCATACGGGTATGTTGAAATATTCAACCATTCTGAAGATCATCACATCTATATAATGCATATCATATCATATTCGTCTTCAAATATATATTTAGGTCCAGTTTTATGTGTTCGATGGTCTCAAATAGAGGGAAGGCATTTAGCATCAGGATCGGACGATAAAATAGTTTTAATATGGGAATTAGACAGGTTTGTTATTTTATTTCACTTGTAGTTCGATTTATTGACTTATGTTATATTTATAAATCAATGTTTGGCGTGCAGTGGCTATGGTGGAAAAGTGTTTGGTAGTGATGAGCAAAATGTGGAGAATTGGAAAATATCCAAAAGATTGACTGGTCATGAATCTGGTATTTGTTGAATTTGATTCTCCTAGTCTCCCTAATATTATCAAATAATCGGCTATAATGAATCTATCATGTAATAATAGATGTTGTGGATATTGCTTGGTCTAGTGATAATACCTATTTGGCTTCCTGCGGACTGGATAATCTCGTGTTTATATGGGATGGCCAAACTTTTGGTGCGTCAGGAATATTGAGAATTCTTTTTCACTTGATTTTACTTTAACCTTTTTTGTCTTCGTCATATTAAAAGAAAAACTAAAGAAGATTGATGACCATAAGGGATTTGTTAAAGGAGTAGCATGGGATCCTATTGGAAAATACCTTGCGACCGAGGTGAATTATCGTTCTATATATTTTATTATTATCATAGCATAATCTCACATATATTGCTTCAATAGTCTGATGATAAAACCATGAGAATTTGGAGAACTTCAGACTGGGAACCCGAACATGTAGTGAAGGCACCATTTACCTCATCACCTACCACGACCTTTTTCCGACGATTATGGTTTGTACTACTAATTCAGAGAAAATTCTTACGCAGGAATAATGATCGTTTGGATTATTGATAAAAGTTTATTATATATAGTTGGTCTCCCGATGGAACACATCTTTCTGCAGCAAATGGCTCTCTAGACGCAATCGCTGTTGCGCCTATTTTAGTCAGAGAGGAATGGAAAGCTGACATTTCTTTAGTTGGACATAATGCGCCGATCGGAGTTGTGGTAAGTAGTTTCTTTTTTTATTGAATTGTTGAAATCAGAATGATTGTCTATATAAAATATAGAGAGTATATTCTAATAATAAAAATACAGCAATTTAATCCAGTACTCTTTGTGATACCGGATTTGGATGCTGCGGATCGAAACGCTGGAAGTTTGGGGAGTATTATTGCAGTTGGCAGTCAAGACTATAGCATTTCTATTTGGGCGACAAAAAGATCACGACCAATAACTGTAAGTCAAAGGATGTTTAGACAAAGTGTGATGGATCTCTCTTGGTAAGAAAAAGTCGTTTTAATTGGCATCCGTTTTTTCATATTTTTTTTCTAACTGTTCTTTTACTATCAAAGGGCGCCTAATGGAAAAGATTTATTTGCGTGTTCATATGATGGTAGTGTGGCGATACTTCGATTCCAAGACAGCGAATTTGGAATTCGTAGTAAAATCGAAGATAAGGTAATGAATTTATTTAAATTATGATCAAATTATCATCAAATAATATAATTCTTAAATTATTACCAAATTAATCAGGAAAAAATCATGGCGAAATATGGATATAAACGTAAAGAGCCAATTTCATTAGAGAACACCTCGCAGATAGCATTAGAAGAGGAACGAGCAGTCATAAATAAAAATATAAAATCTAAACGAATTCACGATATTATGCAGGGTGAATCAACTTCATCTTTTAGTACAACAAATAATTACAATAACGGTGCTACATCTTCAAATGGACACGAAGTGATTGTAATCAATGATTCATCGGAAACCCCACCATCTCCTACGGATCATGTTGCAGTTCTTATACCTCCTTTGGACATGAAGTCTACTTCTGCTATATCATCGAGTAGTATAACAAGTAGTAATCATATTCATAATGATAGTGGGATGGATGGGGTAGAACAAGTATTCTCATCGTCATCATCATCGGCCAATAACAACAACAACAACAATAATATAATGACTAAGACATCAGCTCCTCCAAGTACTCCAACGCATCAAAACGTGACACTCACTAAAGAGGGCAAAAAAAGGATACAACCTTTTTTTGTGAGAGGGTAATTAGTTAATCTTTTTTATTTTTTTTTTATCATAATTCTTGTTTTTATTTTATTGTCATTCTTATTTTTATTGTTCTAATATTTTATATATAATTATTCAGTTTATCATCACAACCTCCAACACCAGTTCCCCCAGCATTTGCATCATCATCATCGTCTTCACAAATACCCACAGAAAATAAACTACATACTTCATCATCATTATCTTCTTCTTCTAATGGACCATCATCATTTATTACGCGACCCTTACTCCAATCCTCACAAAATCATTCTGTTATTAATGGACATTCTATTCATTTTGATCCTCCCTCGTCAATTTTACCGTCAGGCGGAGTACCAGCCTTGTTAGTTGGAAATAAAAGAAAAGAATCACCATCTCTGCCAGAACCATCATCACTCACAACAGTATCAACATCTGAAACCGATGGAGTTCCCTCCAAAAAGCATCATTCTATTACTACTGGAAAATCAAAGATTGATAATACCGCCACTACTTCTATGGACATTCATTTCGATTCACGTGTTATAAATTCCGCTTATTCTGCATATATATCACCCATGATCACAATGTCACAAGTGAGATTAGCACAACCAAAGGTTCTAAATAGTCTGAGAAAGGATATAGTCGGATTTTCAAATAGAAGATTGGAATGTCAAAATTATGTAGATAAAAGTAAGAAATTGTTCATCCTCCTTGTTGTTTGACAAATTAACACAATATTAACCATATTATTGCATATAGGGCCATCAAAACTGATATGTAGTGAGGCTGATAATATTTTGTGGATAGATTTTATACCGAGTAAAGTATTGCTATTGGTTGGTTATACTCGATTTAGTGCGGCTGCTTGCGATGATGGCAGTTTGTATGTATATTCAGCAGCTGGTAAACGGTATGTGGTAAAAATTTCTTATGTCTGTCTGCTGTTTTTTCGTATTTTATCAAATTATGACGGTGTTTTTTTTTTTTGCAGACTACTACCTCCAATAGTATTAGAAACCCCGGCATCATTTTTATCAGGGCTAGATAGTTACCTCTTATGTCTGAGTCAAGCAGGTTTATTAAATGTTTGGTGAGATTTTTAATTTCTTACAAATGATAATTAATGTGCACATTATTTTGAAATGCTATTTCTATATAAAAGAATATGTATTTTTATAGGGATTTGACACGTCGAACCGCGATAATATCATCTGTTTCAATAGCACCAATCCTACAAGCTGCAACACTATCAAATACAAATTTCAATCAACAAACCATTGTTTCTACGACACTCCGTCCCAATGGAATACCCATGCTAAAAACCACGAGTGGTGATGTATGGATATTTCACTTAGAAATGAGGAATTGGATGCGAGTCTATGATCCACGTTACACAAGTCTAAGAACTCAACTTAATGGCAGCGAACTATCGACGGTATTATCGATATTGGAAGGGAACTCTGTGGAGCCTGATGTCGATAAGCAGGCGATAATGGAACATTTGAATCCAGTCAGTAATGCAAATAAAGAAATTCTACATAAAGAAGCTCTACATGAAGCGTCACAGTCATTTGGACAGATAGAGAATGAATTAATATCTGCCGAGATACTAAATTCACGGACCGAGTTTCGGCGTAATTTAGCTCTGTATGCACAACAATTGGCCGATACTGGTTCTATTGCAAAAGCGGAAGAACTTTGCGAAGAATTATGGGTTTCCGATACAAAGTAAGAAATGACGGCGTAATCTTCGACTATTCATTATATCTGTTTTACGTTGTTTCTTATTATTTTTTCAATTGTAGGGAGGGTGATTCATCCTCTTATGAACCGTCAATCAAGGCAAGTTCATTCAAAGATTTATATATACTATTTAGGTCATTCTATAAACTAATTTTGACCTTGATTTCTTTTTCATAGAGAATGTCCAATCATAAGCTTTTACGCGAGATTCTTCCCATATTAGGTAATTATTTCAATTTAGATTGGTTTGGAATAATCATTCCGATAAATCTTGTATTAACGCGCGTAAATATTTTCTTAAGCCTCAAATCGCTCTTTTCAACGAGTGCTTTCAGAATACGAATCACGATTGCGAGATCAAATGGAGGAATAAAAACCGTATTTTTATCATATATATTCGCATTTTCAACTAGTTAATTAGTCGATCAATTACGTTTTATAATTATTATTAGATGCTACTGAATAACTGTGTTTGGTTGGTACTTAAAGACATTTTATTTTTATCTCTGCATTAGTTATGATAATCAAAGTAATAATAATATACACCGAACATATAATTTGTAAATAAATTTTTTGTTTTTTGTTTTGATAGATGTTAAGTCTCCAATAATTTATTAATAACTGGTTTCTTGATGACGAGAATTTTTTATCAAAAATTGTCAATGACGAGTAACTTGGAAACTGTCCTCCTTGAAATATTTTATATATTAAAGAACAATACCGATTTTCAGATACGAACAATACTCGTATAACACGCTTATGAATAATCTTTTGATTTTTACCTTGTACCAGCAAGGAAAACTAACGATAATATGTTTGACTGTATGTATATCTGATATTTATACAAAAAAGGCTAGTAACATGACGACAAAATTTGACATCAAACCAAAAAATTGCTACCCCGTTTAATAATAAAATTCCAATCGTCATTGTTAATAGAGAAAGCATCTCATAAATAATGATAATAATAATAATAATAATAATGATAACAATATTTGAATTCAAGATTTTGCAACTTGTTCTTGTAGTTGCGGTGAATGTATATTCATTGGTGGTAATTGTTGATTCGGGGAATTGGCGTGTGGCGTGTTGTTTGTGTTTGATGAAGGTGATGAAGTGGCTGATGGTTGTTGTGGCTGTTGATTTTGACTATTACTACTACTACTTGTATTATTGATACTATTATTAGGATGTTGCTGGCTTTGTGATGATGATGTCGATGATTGTGTTGGTGGTGATGAGGATGGTGGTTGTTGTGGTTGTTGTTGATTGTTATTTTGTTGTCCGACAGGCAAACTGGCACTTCGTGATTTCAGTACTTTCATGTATTTCTTTGCTGGATTTTCAGCATTCTGACGTACTTTGTTACGTAATGCTTCCATCACATACTCATGATTGACTTCAGGTTCTGAAAGTTTAGGACGTTTGTTATTATTAGTGGTCGAAGAACTACCGCTGGGCGTGGTGGGACTTTGATTGTAGGAGTATTGATGATGATGAAGGTGATGATGATGATGTGAGGACGAAGATGAAGAGGACGATGAATGAGTAGAAGATGAAGGTGGTGGTTGTTGATCTTGCACGCTGGTTGGAGTTTGAGTAAATGATGGATGCGGATTATTATGAGATGAAGGTGAGAGTATCGTAAACGGCGGTATTGAAAGTGTTAATTGTGGTCGTTGATTGCTGTTATTGCTGCTATTGCTATGATAACTGTGATTATGTGGAGCTGTTATTCCACCATTGCTGTTATTACTGCTATTACCACTACTGTGATGATGATGACTGCCAAATGGAAGAACATTATTGTTGTTACTGTTTTCATGTGTATTGTTGCCTGATGATGGGGGCGAGAGACGTCCACCTGCGCTTGTCGGTGTAGTCGCTGAATAATGATGATGATCTATTTATTATTATCATTATTATGATTGTTTTATTTATCGATTTAAGATTAAAAAAAAAATATATGTGATTTAGATTAATAAAAATAAATCGAAAATGGTGATCGAATAAAAATAATTCATCGGTTAAAGAAAAAAAAATTTTATATTCATAATATTATATACAATCAAGTAAAATAGATATGTACCAATTGTTGATGGTATGGGCAGATATGGACTATGTATATCTGAAGGTGATTTGCTACATTGATTTGATTGATATGTTGATTAATTGTAGGTTAATTGTTCACCGATTACTTCTTAAATAAATGAAGAATATTTTATTTTCGGTGATTTTTATTCTTTCATGATGGTGATCGTAATAGTATATAAGAATGTAGTTCGCATTTTGGTATATGAATAACACTTACGTATTGTAACTGGTATTCAATGCTATGAAATCGGAAAATCATTATTATCAATAATTCCCCCAAACATAATAATCTTCGAATTGATAAAACGCAATGACAACTTACGTGGAACACCAGTAAATATAGTTGGCGGCTTCTTTTGTTCCCTCAACATTTCCAGTTCTACTTGCTTGCATTGCAGTCGGAGTTGTTCGGTTTTGTATTTTTCTTCTTCGGCTCGTCGCTGTTTCAATTGTTTTATCGGTTAGTTTGTCACATGAAAACGTTCTCTATGAAAGTTTGTTTTACTCGTCAAGAGAAACCAGATGCAAAGACGATGGAGAGTAAATCGCCCATATAAAGACACTTTGACTCGATACAATTCGTTAAATCCAGACCAACGAATCATAAAGAACCAGAAACGCTACATACCTTGTCCTCTTCGGCCTTCGCTACCAAAATCTGTTTTAGCAAGTCATTATTGTCTCGATAAGTATCGAGAATCTCGCGAAGTGATAAATCTGTTCGAGGAAGGTGCGATGCTGGTGAAGGGTAGGCGAAGGCTGATTGCCGCATGTCTGTCATATTATTCTTCTTGTTGTCGCTGCTGTTTATTTTTCTTTGTTACAAGTGAATGATTGGAAGGTGCTTTACGATAAAGGTGTATATATGCTATACGGATTTTAGTTTGTTGTGCATGAAGCAAGATTGGTGTGTTGTTCGCGTATATGTTAATTAATCAACAAATAGCGATAATAATACATTTAAAGCTCTAGTTATTATTAGCAAAAAGCGTGTCTTTTACTTGCTCTATAAGGATAATAATTATAAAAATAAACGAACTAGATTAATGAAGAAAATAAATGATAATTAAAGAACAAAAAAGAGTTTGGTTTTACTGGTTGACCAAAATCATACAATAAATAAATCAATAATTAGAATAATGATGATAGTTAATAATGATACGGGGAAAGACAACTTTATTATGATTTTCTTTTGGTTCTCGGGATTGTCTAATCTCTCGTGCGTCTAATAATGGTTCGTGCAAGTTTGATAAACTTCTATGCGAAGGGGACGATGACAAGAAAATTCTATTGAATTTCGATTATATGAACATGGATATTTTTACTTAAATTTCTAGTGATTACATTTATTTATTAGCGTCAACATAAGTCCTCCCAAATATAGCATACAAGTATCGTTCATATGATCAAGGAAAGAAAAAGAAAATTTAGGTTATCCGATACATGTATGTTATTTCTGACTCGCATTACTAATTATGTATTGCATGAATGCATGTATATTCATTTGATTTCCGGATGTTGTTTTTTATTTATTTTCTGTAATCATTGATCATACCATGCAGAAACCCTAATTGTTTTGGGCATAGCGTATTAGGATTTAAAAATATTATTTGTTTATTTTTATTTTTATGAGCGAGTAAACTTTCGGTCCGTTCTTCTGTTTTTTTCTTTCTCACTCTCCCTCTTTCTAGTGGATCAGTTGATTGAGTAATTGATAAATTATCTGATGTATGAACCAAAAATAACCACCAATTTCATTCGAGTATCTCCCTATTGTAGAATGGGATTATAATGAGCCCAAAGAATCTTTGTGAATTTGTTTTAAGTTTAGCTTCGTGTCCAGTGGTCAAAGTTATAATTAGAGATCACGGAATCACATGTTGGTAAATATAAACATATGGATAATATTTCGCGCCTTTTTTTTTGGTATAGATTTTATCGATTGTTGTTTGTGTGTGTGTGTGTGTGTGTGTGTGTGTGTGTGTGTGTGTGTGTGTGTGTGTGATTACTTCTTTGTGATACCACCATGTTATTTCCCATTTCCCGTAATTTTCAAAAATACGACGACAATCAAAAAAATACTGATGTATTTTCACCTTGTTATGACGATTAAGTAATTAATTTATAATGTACATACGCAAATCTAATAATAGTAGCGCGTTTCACATCACAAAATAAAGATCAATCGCTATAAATAAGATGAGTAAAAACTTGACGAGAAATACTTGCATTGTGCTAAAAAAGCTCTGGTCATGTTCATTTTGTATCAATCAAAGTGAATCACGGCACGGATACTAAAGATCACATCAAATCAGAAAGATCAATCCAGAACGATGACAATGAGGCACCAGACCAAATCAATTGCATTACATACCAGTCGCCAGAGTGCATCACCTCAAACGCCTTATTGATATCATTGATTCCGAAAGTATGAGTGACATAGGAGTCTACCTCGAGTTTCTTTGAAAGATAATCTTGTACTAAATTCGGTAACTCTGTTCGTCCTTTGACGCCGCCGAATGCAGAACCTTTCCATACTCGTCCTTTCAGTGTGATTAATGGAATAATATGAAGAAGATGATGATTATGTTGATTTTATGAATGAACGAATAAAGCGAAAATAAGGTTAACCTAAAGAAAGATAAAAAACCTGTTACAAGTTGAAACGGACGAGTACAGATTTCTTCCCCTGCGCCTGCGACCCCAATAATAATTGATTGACCCCATCCTTTATGACAACTGTTAAAATAACAATGGTACGAAGATTATGATTATTATTAATAAATATAAAAAAGTTACACAAAATCATTGTTTTCACAAAAATAATACTATTACCTTTCTAACGCAGCTCGCATTACTTCAACATTGCCAATACATTCAAAAGACGCGTCCACTCCTCCATCGGTTAGTTCAACGATCACCTGAAAATCAATCAAAAATAATCAAGTTTCTTGTTAGTGCGCATATATATATATAACTGCTTTTCATTCACCTGTTGAATGGGTTTATCATGATCATCGGGATTCAAACACGTCAGCTCTGCATTCGGTGCTAATTTCTTCGCTTTATAATAACAAAGAATACAAGATTAATTTTCCTAACAAAAAAAAAATGAATTCAAAAGAAAAGACCAATTCACCATATTCAAATTTCTTTGGATTCTTATCAATAACAATAATTTTACTTGCTTTACGTGCTACAGCACCTTGAATTACGGATAATCCAACAGCACCTAAAAATAACAATAAATAAATATAATTTAATCATAAGAACAAATTATTTACATACCTAAACCAAAGACAGCAACCGTTACGCCAGACTGAAGATCCGCAGTCTTTGTTGCTGCGCCATACCCTAAATATAATACATTATTGTGTATTAGAATAAATATAATGATTCTTGTGTGTTGGAATAAATATAATGCATTCTTGTGTATTAGAACAAATATAATGCATTCTTGTGTATTAGAACAAATATAATAATTCTTGTGTATTAGAATAAATATAATACATTATTGCGTAATCTCGGGGAATTTTCCGTGTTATTGTTCCACCAAACGCACATCAATAATTAATAAATTATTACCAGTGGTGATACCACAACCTAACAAGCAAACCTTATCAAGAGGTGCATCTGGATTAATTTTAGCGAGGGATATTTCGAGTGCAACTATTTTTATATTTTCAAGTTAACCGTTTCTCTATTATCAATAAGATTGCGATTAAACAATGACGATTATGCTTCCTTACCTGTGTACTGGCTGAAAGTGGAACATCCCATATAATGATATGCCTGCTGGCCTTTGTATTTTACATTATATCGTTAATAATAAATTATATCGCATATGATTAATTAACATTTGATTACCAACCTTTGACGGTGAACCTTGTGGTCTCATCCGGCATAACACCGCGACCTTGAGTCGACCTCACAAGACTACACAAATTCGTTTTCCCACTCTTGCAAAACTTACACTCGCGACATTCAGGAATATACAATGGGATAACGTGATCTCCGGGTTGTACCAAAGTGACGCCTTCTCCAATTGATTCCACTACACCACTTCCTTCATGGCCTAGAATTATTGGCCAGCGTACACCTTCGGGATCTTTATTATTTCATTGTTCGTTAGTAATATTATATTAATATTTACGTATATTTTCATGCAATAGAATGGAAATTACCTTTTCCAGATAAACTATACATGTCTGTATGACATCTGAGGTGTAGGCAAATTTTAATGCTATGAACACGGTTAAAATTGCTGATGAATTAAACTTACACTGCAGTAGCAAATATTTTCACTCGTACTTCTCCTTTCTATAAAAAGTCAGATATTAATTAATCTCCTTCTCTCGCTATACAAAAGATCGACCAGCAGTCAATATATAAAAATTAGACCTTTGGTGGGGCCACCTCAATTTCCTCGATGGCTAAATGATATTACGGGTGAAAGATCTACGGTAAATATGTGAAATTAAATGAGAGTTCGTTAACGAACGAACTTACAAAGAGGTTTCGCAGGCTCCCAAGCAACGGCGGCTTTACATTTAATGACCTAGTTGTAATAAGTATATATAGCTCATAGTTGACCGTGAATTGTGTGTCTGAAGAAAAATGAACAAACTCATAACAATATTGACTATTACCTGTCCAACTGTCGACATCGTTTTAAAAGTTTAACCTAAATATCTATTGATAAAATTTCAATGGTTTGAACGAAGTAAAGCAAATTTAGTATGTCGATATAATGATATAATAATGATAAGGAGAAATTAAATAATCGGTTAAATGTGATCTGCGATATCGATATGAGAAGATTTTAACCAACCCATTCTGCTGTAGAATTTGAATCACACAATGACACGATATGCCAAACTCGAGAAAAAAAAGTACAAAGAGGCTGTGGGGTTTGAAGGATTCAATGTTAAGCCTTTATCACCTTCAAAGTCAAAGTCTTCAAGTATAAAAAAGGAACGAGAACAAACGGTGGTTGCGATGGGTGAACATGGAGAACAATTTAAAGAAAAATCGAAGAATGGTGTTAAAAGAAAAATATGGGCTGACAGTGAGGAAGCGGAAATCAACTTGGATACTGGCATTAATAATAAAAATAATAATAAGAGAAGGAGTCAAAAAAGACGAAAAACTGAGGAAAAAGTTAACACTGATGGTGATGCTACAGGTGGTTTTTTTTTCTAATAATGTTATTTCTTTTTTTGATTAAAAATAATCATCGTTTATTGAATTAATATCATAGAAGCGAAAAATACTGATGCAAAATTTAAAAGATCGGAAAAACGCAGACTTCGGCGTATCAAGGAACGGAAAAGCAAAACGGTCTGTATTGATTCTTATTTCGTGAGATTTTATTTTTGCTGCTTTATAATTTTGATTATTCACAATATACAAAAATATGTGAATATAGATATGTTTTGCTTGTCGTAAAACTGGACATAGTGTAAAAGATTGTCCAGAGGCGAATAAATACAGTGATAGTGCTGCTGATAGGAGTATTAGTGTAGGATTATGTTATACTTGTGGATCAACCGAACATACATCCAAGAATTGTAAAGAACCGATATTTTCAAAAGGTAAAAAGTATCTATGTTGATTTATTATATTCATTTCAATATTAAAAAGATCTTCCACAATTGCAGACAACAAAAATATAAAATATCAATATGCTAAATGCTTTATATGTGGAGAACAAGGACACTTGTCTGGTAAATGTGCTAAAAACGAGAAAGGTCTATATCCGAATGGTGGATCTTGTCGTTTTTGTGGGAAAGTGGATCATTTTGCTAAAGATTGTGACATCAAGAAAGAAGGTTTGTTGAATTGTTGAGGTTTGGGTATTTTTAAATTATGGTTTAATAATGCATTGGATTTTTAGAAATTGGAGTAGTGGCTTTAAGTAAAATCGACTCTGAACACGGTCCAGATGACGACGATTTTCACATTTTCATTGAAGAGACAAAGAAATCCAAAAAAACCCGAGAAAAAAGCAAGAAAATTAATACTAGCGTTACTTCGACAAAAACAACAGATGATAGTATTAGTAATAATAATCTGCTTGTTAATAGTGATAAAAGCAAAGCTAAAAAGAAAATTGTTAGATTTTAGAAATATTATAGATATATAAACAATTCCCAATTGGGATAATATCAAGTCAATACGTGATATGGAAATAGCGAAGTTATATAATTGATCTTGGGATAAAATATTAGATAATGAAAATTATTCTTTTCTGAGAGAATGCCAAGATATAAAATAGTATTGATCTTTAACTAACAATTATTTTTTGCTGTGCTTGGTACGTTTTTCGCCGTATGAAACTACATTATTTTACATGCAGAGTCATAATAATGAAACATGGATCAAATTCCCTACACCAACTTAATTTTTTGTATATTCTTTAATATATTTTCTCGTAAATTTTTTGTCTTTAATCTCATCTTTTAATCCAATTATTATACTATTTCCCGAAAAAATCGCCTACCCTATCCCAGGTTTAGAAGATTATAATAATCGGTGCTATAATTAATTACAACCACCAACTAAATGTTGATATCAACCTCGGCTTTGACCTCAACCTCAGCAACGTATTACTACTAATAATTAATAAAAAAAAGATATGTACAATGAAAGTGTGAATGAAAGTGTGAATGAGTGAGAGTTGGTTAATCTTTCCTACCATGTAATAGTGGGAAAATAGACAGATTGCCAACCATGCGGATGATTATTATTAAGTGTGAATAAAAAATAATAAACAAAAATAACAAGGAAAAGGAAAAGGCGATACAGAAGGATAGGATGGAAGGGAAGGGAAGGGAAAGGGATTATTAAAGGGGAAATTATTTCTGGAATTTATTTACAAGTTTCTGTTTGTAGTGATGGATGTGTAATAATAATATTAATATTATTACTAACAATATATAATAAAATTTTTAAGATGTTTATAATAATTGATAATTAATGAAGATTGATTGATTGATTGATTGATTGATTGATTGATGATTTCTAATGATCATAATAACGACAGTTAAAAGGGAAGTGATGAATGATGTGATGAGAGGAAAAAGAAAATTAAATCGTTTACACAATAATATTTCAATTTGATGTTTTCTATCATAATTAAAAAAATTATACAAAAGAAAAGATTAATGGAATTTATATATATTTGTATTATATATATTAAAAATGAAAAGGACTTTGTTGTAGAGCAAATGCAAAAGGGTGAAGGATAGGAGGAAGAGGAGAAGAAAGTAGAGTAAAAGAAAATATATGTGCAATCTATTTTATAATTTATAAAAAAAAATAAAAAAGAATCCGGAATTCAGAGTTCATTTTTTTGGTATTATGTATGCAAGAATGCATTATTTTTATGGTAAGTATTAATTGATATACAAAAGAGAAGATAAAAATGTCCAATAGTGAATCTCGTCGTCGTATTCTGCTTCGTCGTCGAAATTGAAATTTTTTGTATTATCAAAGACAACTGAACGCGTCTTTTTCCTCTCAGCATGAATGAATAAATAATTTAAGCCATTTTTATGCAAAAATTAAAAAAGAGATGACGACGATTTAGAATTCGAATTCGAATTCGCTTCCAAGTTCTTTTGCGAACCAATCCAAAAAGATGACATAATAACGACCATCCCATTTTTTCAAGAACTTTTTGTCCAAGAAATTATGGCTCAATTGACGTTGCCAACTGATAACCTCGACCTTCCATCCTCGCTCCAAGGCTCTCACCACACACTTGTGGAATCCTCCCTGAAAATACTCTGAATCTTTACCATCACCGCTGGCCAGGACTAAAGTGGTGGGTGCAGAGTAGTCGAGTAAGGACTCCAAGATTTTAAGATGGAGAAGTTCATCAACACATTGTTCTTTTTCCATCCCGTTTGGTTTTGCGGCAGCCATGCGTGGTGGTTTTTGTGGCTGTTGTAGCTCTTGTTTATTAATAACATTTGAAAACGGATCTTCATTGATTGTAGTATCGATAAGCTTATCGATAGGCCTTTTAACACGACGAAGTACCGAGACCTCGTATCCCCCATTTTCAGCTATTTCAAGATTTTGATATAATGGGGAAGAGGCAACTAAAATTTTACGCTCAGTTTCTCTTCCTCGCTCAAGAATTGTGAATAGAGCTTCATAATCTATTTGTGGTCTAGGGTTTGAATGTAATACTGATTCCACACCATGAGCATTCATTTGAGCGATTTTCTTTTCACGACAATATGCGAGGAATCCCACCAAAATGTTGGAATTATCAACAAAAACGTGAATTGGATCCGACGAAATCGAGATTGGAATTGGTATCCTCTGCTTTATTGGTGGTGCCAGTTTCTCTCGTCCAAGTACTTGGTTGTTATTCGGTATGATTTCCTTGGTCAGTTGATCTTCAAAATGGGGTTTTTTGCTATCATGATTCTATTTATATTGAAAATTGATTAATTAACATTTATTCCACTCCATGAAGATAATAAAAGTCGAGATCACAAGAAAACATACCGATCTCTCATTGATGCTCGAAGAAACCTTTACCTTGATTTCTTTCTTGGCCACAATTAATTTGGATTTCTTTTTCGAAGTTTTTTTATCATTCGATTTATTAGTATTATTAGGCTGGAGAACCAAGAATGTTACCTTCTTCTTCTTTGCCTGTTGCACAACGACTTTGGGCGTGTTGTGAAGAAGATGATGGTGACCAGCGAGTAATAATTCTTCCTCCGACGAATATTCAGAGGATGAAGAATGAGGTAAAAGAGGGGGTTGTTTAATGAGATTTTTATTACTTTTATTATTGCTGATGTTGCCATTAATAATCGGGGAACCGGAGTTCAATACGTCCGAGAAATCAACGAGATTTGTCGTTGCTGTGGTTGTTTTACTTGCTGTTTTGGAATTTGAGTTAAAAGAAGAACTTTTCCACTTTTCCTTCTGTATTTCGAGATATTGCCAGATGGGACTTCCAAAGTCTCCCAGGTCTGGTTCTTGCTTTCTGACATTAACGACCGTTTGCTCAGGCATTGTTGATGTTTTTGTGCTTTTTGAGGTATTAGTATCAGGAACAGTATTACCCAAGTTTAGTGGATGAGATTGCAGCGGTGGTGGTTGTACTGTCCGCGACATTCTTATTCACTTCACACTCTTTATTAATTACTATTATTATGTATTATGATGTTATAAAATAGTTATAAAATAATAACGAAATATCCAACGATAGAATACTATACCTTCAACTTCTTTCTTTGATATATACAGACTATCAAATTAACAAACAATAGCGCTCTGTAATTCTGCCAACACCGCTAAGGTATATGTGTATGTGCGATTGTATGTCTTGTATGTATAATAAATATGCACAAATGATATATATATATATATATATGTATATATGTGTGGCGGATACTTCCACTATTGTTACTATTGCTGTTATTATTGTTACTACTATTTTTTCATAGAGGCGAAGAAAGAAAAAGTAATAGTTTTTCTGGGTTTACTGCTTCTGCTTCTGTGTGGTGACTGAGAAAATTAAGCAAATAACCAATACTATATACCCACAGTATGCAATATGATTACGATAATGCTGTTCTATTGTCCCAGTAGTTGTTTAACAACATTCTTTGGATGTCACGTGAGATCGTGGGAGGAATAATACGATTTTTTGATAACCCATGTCAATAGCATGCAACATAACATACATAGCATTTATATATATGATTTTTATTCCACTTTTTCTCTACACATATATAGAATCGTCTCGAAACTTTTCTCTGAGATCAGAGTAAAAGTAGAATAAGTAAAATAATAATACAATAAAAATTCATCCATTTTTTTATGACATCATCAAAGCAAACGGATAACGAAATTTTTCTTTTTCACAAGTCACATCACGTCCAATCCCATCTCAAAAGAAAATAACATTTTTTTTTAAAAAAGACGGAATCCTATAACAACCAAATGACATAAATGGATAAATAGTGGGAAGAGAAGTAGGGAAGAGAAGAGGATAAAGAATAAAAAATGAAAGTGTATATATATATAAAATAAGATCTGGAAGATAATGATGATTGAACAAGTGGGAATTAAAAGATAATAATACAATTAAAAGTCAAGAAAGGATATATATAAATAAATAAGTGATTGATAATGAAAATGTTAAAGAGGATTATTGTCTGTCTATATTAGAATCAAAGTAAATTAGTATGAAAATAATGTCCTTGTTACTGACATTTAAAATTGTCATTGACGCGTGTATATAATCCTCTTTATATATTCTCACTATTTTCTACTCAAGTCTTCAAGACTATTTCCTCCTTCCTCTTGATCTGACTCATTATTATTATAGGAGCTGTTGTTGAAACCTCTTAATTTTGTGAAGCCCGAGAGAAAAGAACCCACCGTATCAGACAAATCGGGTATAATATGTAATAAAGGATGATCAATTTCGTCATCTCCCAGAATTGGACTATCGTTATTACTACCACTATCGATATTATTATCCTCATTCTCGCTCTCATATTCGTCAGGGTTTAGTATACTTGTTGAAAATGGTGAATAGTCTTCCATCTTTTGTTGGTGATGACGTATCATGCTTCGTTTTGAAGGGTAACGGACAGCGGAGGACCCAGAGGAGTTTCCGGCAAGGTCGGCGGTTGATCTTTGGAATTGGTGGGCGGCCTATAGTCAGTATTATTATTTTCAGTGGTTTTTTTTTATTTATGTTATATTTTATTATAGTGGCGATTGTGTTTATTGTAGTTTTTATTTAGCAATAATATATACATATATAATATTTATAAATATGGTGTTGTGATAATTATCATATTATTTCTATTCGATCCAAAACTTATTTTTTACACTATTCCCATTCACAATCGCAACAAATCACGACAAAAGAAAAAAGAGAAAGTAAAAAAAAATACTTACGAACTAATGTTTTCATCTACATCTTCATAATCTTCCGTGACTATTTCCGAAGAAAATAAACGTTGGTGTGGATTACGAGGTTTATTTAAAATAGATATTTCTTCAGATTTTAGAGATGTTGGCGTTGTAGAAGTATTTGTTGTAATTGTAGTGATACTACCATTTTGATTTGTGGAAGAATTAGAGATATTGGTTGATGATAATTCGAGGGATGTTGTGGAATAATCATTATATTTTTTTCCTTGAAATGTTGTTCCCGACGGATTTCCAAATTCATTTGTTTCAACTTCGTCGTCATCATCGGCAATAGTGAAATATGTGTCCTTATTATGTCCATTTTCTCCGTTAGGTGGAATAAGTCCTTGGGCCATTGCTGCTTGCATACCAGCTTGTCGGTTTCTTTTAATCTCTTCTTCTTCTTGACGTCTCGCTTGATCTTCTTCAGCAGCAAGTTGGGCATCTATGACCTGATTAAATTTTGACTAATTCATGAAAATTTTTAATTCATGAATAATAAAAGTCATCAATTGTTAGATCCGGAATAAAAACAATTCAATCATCGATTTCTTTACCTGTTCACTAATAAGTTCGGTCAATTTACTAATTTGTTCGTCGGGAAGATATTGTGCATCTTGCGTTTGTATGGTAGCTTCGTCGTCCAGCAAAACGCTACCACGATCAGAAGCAGCTCCACTAATATCATCGTCTGGACTCATTGTGTTCACCCGCAAATAACCATTCGTGTTTGGCGCTCTTTGAAATGGCGAACGTGTCAAAAATGCCGATATGGACTCGCGATCTTGGTCTGCCAGCAAACTTCCAAATTCAAAGTTATCGTCGTCGTCATCATATGAAAAATGATTGAAAGGAGGTTGTGTGTCTCCTCGACGCGGTAGACACGGGCAAGTTTTATATAAACAGTTCCACATTTTATTTGAGGTGAAAAAGGTTTTTATACGCTTTATTTGACACTAATAGGTAAAGAGGGAAATGTAATAATTGGTCGAATTTTGTTATGCTTTTAAATAACGCAGCCTTGCAAAGATTTATCTTTTACAGACGGCTTACCTTGTACCCAAATAAGGGTTACGAGACTTCTAAAGAATGTTTAATATAAAATATATCTAAAAAAATGTCTATAAAAAAGCACTTATACTCTAATGGAAAATGTTTTGTGACATCTTGTAGCCCTTGTACACACAACTTATATATATATATTAATATTACCAGCAAAATATGGTCAGCCAACCTGTTAATCCAGTGTAAATAGAGTATATATATATATATAATAATGATGGATAGGGACCCGAAAAAATCCTGAGATCAATATATAATATATATTAACGTTAACGTTAAACATTTTTCTATTGTGATAACCCAGAACGTGGCAACAATTCGATATCGATCCTAGCACTAATCCTTACCGGATAAATTGCGTTATAAGATTTAGGATTTTTTCCGGGTCCTTGGCCTAAATATTATATTTTTTTATATAACAAGTTCACTTGGACGAAGGTTCACTTGAACGAATCTCTATATAACGAAAACCTCTATTATGAACTATTAGAAAGAGTCCACTATAACGAACGGGATCCTTCGTTAAAGTGTATTTATAAAATATGAAATAATTTGTATTTAATATTTTTTAAAAAACTATTATCGTTATATAAAAACAAGGTTTAAAAACAACACGTGACTATATAAAACTGTGTATTTAATAATTTCAAGTTTTTTTTAGAGTTGAAAAATTGAAAATTAAAATTATGCAATTTTTTTAGCACAATTTTTAATCACGAATTAATAATAATAGCTACATGCACGTATCTATAAAATAGGCATCTTCTGTTCCAGAAACGGTTATAGTAAATCCAATTTTTTATTAAGTTGACTATTGATCCTGTATTTTTTGTAAAATGAAGTATATATATATTCTTTTTAAATTGGAACTTTTTCTCATCATCAGATTCAAATTCAAAAATTTTCTATTCGTATATTCGTATATTGATATGGATCACATGAAGGCGTACTGTGCTCGAATTGCACGTGAAAAAGTATATAAAGTTTTTTTTACCATATCAGTAATTTCTTTGACATTGTCCACTCAAACCAATGTGGAAACAACCTTCAATCACCGGTACTAATAACATTCCGCTTGGAAAGCGAAGGATCGGAAGTTCAAATTCCGATGAACCAGAAATTAAAACCGAAAGCTATGAATCCTGGGAGCAAAATAACAGTAGTAACAGTAACAACAATAACAACGATAACTATAATTATAACGTCTCCGAATCATTTTCGGCTGCAAATCCCTATCCGGTTTCGGAGGCATATATTAAGTCCGAACCACATGAGCAGCGGGACAAAAATCAATCAAATACAGAGTATAACATTAGTAACGTGGGTATAAACTCTTTGAAAAGAATGAAATCAGAGTCTGAAGACCAACAAACAGGTATAATTCTGCGTTCAGGTTTTTAAGTATTTCCTTTTATGCTTCTTTAACATCCTTTGGCGCAGTATTTTCTACTTATTAATTTGTTCATAGCTTGCACATTATGATGGTGCTACTGCCGTATCATAATTAATTTTAATATATAATAACAGATCAGACATATATAATTTGTGTTTAGTTTAACTGCTCTCGTTGTTACAGATATAACAGGACAAAAAAAAACTATTTACCATCTTTTTTGAGAAATTGATTACTAACACAGCATCTAAAATTGCGTTTGCCCTTCATTTTATCCTAACTCTCGTCTCGTGTGCATCTCAAATTTTAACAATCTAACTACTCATCATCATCATCGATAATTATACCAAATAACATCTAATTATTGCGACAAAATTACCGTTTTCCTCTCTTCAACACTAACTGGAATCATTTCAGATGGAGCTGATGACCGAAAGCGGAAAAGACGTAGTCGGTGGGGTGGTGAAGAATCAAAGGTGAATATTCCGGGGCTACCAACCGCTATCACTGCCAATATGTCCAAAGAGCAATTGGATACATATCTTTGTAAGTGAAGTTCATAGCTCTCCTTTTAATACAACTAAATTATGGGCAAGTTCTTAGTGTTAACGTAAATTTCTTTAGTACATATGAGGTTGGAAGAAATTGGAAGGAAATTGAGGACTGGGGATTATGTTCCACCAGAACGTGAAAGGTATGACTATCACCGCCTAGTGCATAGGTATTTATTAATAATTTATGACTGATTTTATCAATTAACCTTGATTTAGATCAGCATCTCCCGAGCCAATCTACGATATTCAAGGAAAGCGTGTAAACACTCGAGAATATCGATACAGAAAGAAACTCGAAGACGAACGTCATCGTTTAATCGAGGAGGCTGTTAAAAGAAATCCCGATTTCAAGCCACCAGCGGATTATAAACGACCAACAAAAGTCCAAGACAAAGTTTATATTCCCGCAAAGGAATTCCCAGAAATAAATTTCATTGGTCTGTTGATTGGGCCTCGTGGTAACACTCTGAAAAAGATGGAGTCCGAATCTGGTGCTAAAATCAGTATTCGCGGTAGAGGCAGTGTTAAAGAAGGCAAAAGCAGAACTGATGCTGCCGCAAGTGCAAATCAGGAAGAAGATTTACATTGTTTGGTTACTGCTGATGCCGAAGAAAAAGTTGCAAAAGCTGTGAAAATGATCAATAAAATAATTGAGACGGTAAGAATAAATAGAATTGAATTAATAATAAACTCACCTCTTGGTTAAATTTAGAATTAATATACATTTGTGTCTATAGTCTGCATCCGTTCCGGAAGGTCAAAATGAACTCAAACGTCAACAATTACGCGAATTAGCTGCACTAAATGGTACCCTTCGTGACGATGAAAATCAGATTTGCACGAATTGTGGTGCTACTGGACATCGGAAATACGAATGCTCTGAATCACAAAATTTCACAATCAATCTAACTTGTCGCATTTGTGGTGGTCATGGACATACTGCCAGGGATTGTATGGAACGAAATAATCCTGAAGCTTTGCTACAAGCTAAGCAACGTGATCAAAAATTGGATAGTGAATATCTTAGTCTAATGGCTGAATTGGGTGAAAGTGTTGACGCATCCAAAACAAACGAAGTGGCGAGAACCGTAAGTTTATACATTAAATTGATAGTGTATATTTACTGTATAGAGCTATTAAACCAACATTCTATTCATTTTATATAGGGGCATTATGGTCCTACAGGAGCGTCTAAACCCCCGTGGGCCGCTCAACCTTCTCCAACCTCGGTCACTGCCCCTCCTTGGGTAGCAAAATCAACAACACAAATACCTCCACCTGGAACATCTTCATCTTTGCCACCGTGGCAGCAAGGGACTACGATGCCAGCTGTGCCTCCTCCACCTGGTAATTTTTATAATTATTGATATGCTCTTTATATTATTGATTGAATGCTAAACTAAGAATTTTTTTCAAAAAAGGATTGTCAACTGCACCTCCCCCACCAGGCTTATCACCTACTACCCCCACTAGTACTAATGCGCCTTGGGGTGGTGTGAAATCAACTTATCCACCTCCAATGCCACCTCCTGGTTCTTCAGCCTATGCGCCTATAACAACTACATCTGCCTATCCCCCAGTCGCATCTTCATATGCACCGCCTCCTACTACTGCTACAAGCTATGGATATGCTGCTTATAGTACTGCTGCTTCTTATGGCTATAATGCATATCCAACGGCGGCGGCAGCAGCAGGATATCCACCTCCACCACCCTCCACGCGTGCATGGGTACGTATAAATTAAAATTCCTTTTTCTTAGTTTAAGAAAAAATCATTTACTAATTAATTTTACTCAATCATGATATAACAGCAGGCTCCTCCACCTCCACCTCCTTCAAGTCCCGCCCCACCATTGCCACCGCCACCAAATCAACCTCCACCTCCATCACAATAAAAAAATGTTGATTTCTAATTTTTTCTCAAACTAACTAACTAACCGCCATTTAACACTCGCACTTTATCTATATTGGTAGCTCACGCAGATTTTAATGTAATGTATTATGACTAATATTTTATTACCCAAATTTTAGACTTTTCAATCAATAAACATGTCATGATGAATTAGCATTTTTTCAGTTCTATACAAAAGAATTTTGGAAATATTTGCTACGAGATAAATTTCAGATTGTAATCAAGTAGAAAAATAATTCGTGTTTGGCATGTTGTTTAGTGATTTTGATCGTATATATAACCATAATTTATAGAGAATTGTTATTGGCACCCTCCATTTTTGTTATTGGCATTCTCCACGTGATTCAAAATGGATCAGTTTGGGTCGGTTGGATTGGTTCTATAACTGTTCCAAATCACTTGATTCAGAATCACGCATTCACATGATTCATGACAATCACATGCAAGTTACATTATAACCGCTTTTTATAGGTTTCACAATAATTATTAACTTTTAATTATCAAATAAACAAAGGAAACAATGAAATAATTTAAGTGAAATGAACAAAGAAAACAACAAGGTGCTTGTGTCAAATTTGTCATAATAACGTGTCAGAGTGATAGGATATGTTTTATTATAATTATTTATAATTTCACTCAGATTAAGATATTTTTAATTCTATTTCTTTAACATGTTATTATAACAAATTTAATGCAAGCAAAAATGCAAAAATAAGGAAAACAGATAACAGTATGAAAATTAAAAAATGTGATTTTTATTAGAAATAAAAGAAAAAGAATTTTACAGAATCACAAATTCATACATTAGGACATGTTTGGCTATTATGACCAGTTTGATGACATCTATTACATTGTTTTTGTCATCTTTTAATGATCTTATATTCAAATGAATCTCTTTACATTAATTCTTGATTTTGATTTCTTGCTCCAACTGGTTTTCCTCGTGATTTACTAATAGCAGAATTTTCTGGCACAACAAGAGATGCATGTATTAGCTCTTTCAATTGTGCATGATGTTATGATTCAGAATTCTTAATAATTCTATAATTCTTTTATAATCTTATAATTTCTTAAATTATATATATGTAAAAAAACATGAACCAAATTGCAGAAATTGCAGGAATTGTAAAAATTATAGAAATTACAGAAATTATTCATATTATAGAATTATCCAATATTATTATTAATTATTCAAATGTAATATTAATTAATAAAAAATATTTATTATAAATAAAATATAATTGAAGCTTTGAAAAAGGTATTAATTGATCAATACAAAATCTAGCTAGTTAATAAACTGTTTTTTGTTTATTGTTAATGAAATTTGTATATTAATTGAATGAATAATAACTTATTAAAATACTTGCATTTATTATGTACTAATGAACAATCACCAAAATTGCTATAGAATATCAGTATTGTATTGCTATAGGACTATCTCATACTAAGTAAACATAATATCTATTAGTAATAGTGAAAGTTTATCCAATAAATAGAAGAAAATGTACTGCGTGACAATCCTAAAGTATATCAATTATATCAAGATCAAGTAACTGTAAAATTATTATCATTAGACATTGGTTAAACATTCATATTACAATAACATTACCAAAAGTCTGATCATGATAATGAATAGCTATTTGCTGATGTAATGATCAGAATTGATACTGCTATGCAAGAGATTCCAGAAGAAACTGTATATTAGTATGATTATTATAGATATAATATGTGAAATCTTCTAATATTTCAAAATAACAATCTTAAATTCACCAGTGCTCATGGATGTCAACTTGTTCTAATACTTGATTAGTTAATAAATGTTCGCTAATGATATGTAAATGTAAGAATTTTTACGTGAAAAGTATTAAGATAAATTTATTAATTATTGTAAATAAATTATATCAATTGAGATAGTTTTTAGTTTTAATTTTAATAAATATTTCTTTTCAATAAAATATAAGATATATATAATTTAATAATAATTAAATATAAAATTATCTTGCAAAAAATTCATATTATAATAATATAATATTTGTTTATTTAATTAATAAAAAACTTTTTATTATTAAAAAATTTCTTTTTGAGTTATCAGAAAACTTGAGTTTTGAGTTATTAGAAATAAAAATAAATTTTTAAACTATTTTAAAAATATATAATTATAATTTAAATTAGTTGTAGCTATATCTTTAAATTATATTATTAGTTTCAGAATTTATTTTTAGTTAAAAAACTTGATTTTAAGTTATTAAAAAACTTAATTAATTTTTTAAATTAAAATATATATTATATTTATATATAATTAATGAATATTAAATTACTAATAGCGTTAAAATTAAATCAAATTTTGAATTGAAATTTGAATAGAAATTCAAACTGAAATTTAAATTAAAATTTGAATCAATATTTAAATTAATTCAATTTCTAAAAATAATTTAATTAATAATATTATTATACTTTGATATTTCTTATATTTAATTTTATATAATTCTATATATTATTATATTATTACTTAAAATAATATTATTGGATAATTATATTAATAATTAGTATTTGAAATTTAATTCAAATTTCAGTTTAAATTTCAGTTTGAATTTATTTCAATTTGAATTTTATTCAAATTTTTATTCAAATTTTTGATTTAAAATTTAATTTAATTTATAATTTTATTGAATATTTAGTTTTTATAATTTATTTATAAATATAATATTGTCACTATTATAATATATTATATATTATTTAACTATTTATTGATATATTTATGCAAAAGTTCAGTTAGGTGAGCATAGTATTGTTACGATTAGAAATTCTTATAATTTCCATAAATCCTATAATTCTATAATTTCTATTAAATTGTTATAATTTCTATATTCTTTATAATTTCTATATTATTTACATATGTTTTATATATGAAT